AAAATTAATAACTACTTTGATCAATGAATGTAAAAATGATTCAATTAATTTAAAAAATAACATCAATTAAAAAATAATTTGTAATTGATAAAATAAATTTAATAATATTTACTAAGTTAACTAATTAACCTGCTCACTTAGACCAATCTAACTAATTAAACCAGACTTGATGACCAAAATGGCTAAATTACTTGCTTGGACTGACTCGGATTTTAAAACATTGCTTCATGTCAAAGCATTAAGATTTTCCTCAATTGTTTGAGCAATTTAAGGCAACCGTCCCTACATCAACCTACCCAATATAAGAAAGACACCCCACCAGGCCTGTTCACCCTCACCAATGACACTTCCAAGACCCAACAATCTTAGTTTTTCAAAAGCAAAACCCTTGAAGAAGATTAAACTTACCTGTTTTGTCTTGGGGGATTTTTGGGTGTTTGGGAGTGAATAAAAAGATGGCATGGAGGTACTGTTACAAATATGTGCTGCCATTCACAGCTCTGGTGACTATGGAGGGTGTAAATGTGGGGTTAAACACTCTGTTCAAGGCTGCTACTATGAAGGGGATGAGCTACCATGTCTTTATGGTTTATACTTATGCCATAGCTGCTCTTGTTCTTCTCCCTGCTCCCTTCTTCTCCCTAAGGTTTCTTGTTACTGGGCTTTTCTCCCCCTCCTTGTTCTCACCTTTGATTGTTCAAATTTGAAATTTTTCTTTGGTTTTCAATGCAGATCAAGAGTGCTTCCTCCACTCAGCTTCACCATCATGTGTAAAATTGGTCTTCTTGGGCTAATTGGGTAATTTACTGAACTCATGCACCTCAGTTTCAGTTTCAACTGTTCTATTTTGATTTTAATGATGTGGTTTTATTGGGTCGGTACAGGAGTACGTCTCAGATCATGGGTTTTACAGGGATCAATTTAAGCTCCCCAGCACTTTCTTCTGCCATCAGCAACCTCACCCCAGCTTTTACTTTCATTCTTGCCATCATGTTCAGGTATCTTCCGTCTCCTATGTTCAATTGCTAAAGTACCCTCCTTCGCAAAAAAAAAAAAAAAAACCTTTCAAAAAAACCCATTACCTTGTTCTGTAAAAGGAGTTTATATATTCTGCTATGCATGCTTTGTAACAAAGTTGAAGTATAGTTAAATTTGGTCTGGACTAGAAGTCAGTATGCTCTTCTTTTCTTTGATTGCATTTTACTTTAGGGGGTTAGCTTTTTCCTAGGGAAAATTCTATATCTTGGGCATTAAACTGCCTGAATCAGGAGACTTCTGATGATTAGCAATTAATTTTTTGTTTCTATGCTCTCTTGAATGCTTTTCTTTTATATTTTGAGTTCGTATTTAGAGATGTTTGATTTGGTTTAAAGGATGGAGAAGATCGAATTGAAAAGAGCAAGCAGTACGGCTAAAGTTCTCGGTACTATCATATCAATAACTGGTGCATTTGTAGTCACTCTCTACAAAGGACCACCAGTCTTTTTACAATCAGCACCATCCATGTCCATGCAGCAACCTCTTCACTCTTCCAAATCAAATTGGCTTTTTGGTGCTCCTCATTCAGCAAAATCAAATTGGGTTATTGGTGCCATTTTTTTCGCCACGGAGTATGTCTTGGTTCCATTCTGGTACATTGTTCAGGTAAAGCCCTTTACGGTACAAAGTTCACTCAATTGTTCTTGACGTTTCAATAACAGTTGAGGAAATAATCAAATTTGTACTGTTTGGCACTTTGCAGGCACAAATTATGAAGGAATACCCATCAGAACTAACTGTTGTCTTCTTTTATAATCTATTTGTGACCTTTATAGCTGCAATTGTTGGTTTTTTCACTGAAAGAGATTCAAGAGCTTGGAGAATAAGGCCAGATATAGCATTAGCCTCTATTCTTTGCATGGTAAGGAACTGATGAATACAGACGCAGGGTGGTTGTTTGAGCAGGTCTTCTACTTCTAGCAGTTCTTTAATTTTCTTGGTTTGGCTTCATTGTTTTTAGGGACTCTTCGGTTCATGCTTGAACAATACTGTTCATACATGGGCACTGCGCTTGAAGGGACCTGTATATGTAGTAATGTTCAAGCCATTGTCGATTGCCATAGCTGTTGCCATGGGTGTAACGTTCCTTGGTGATACCCTCTATCTTGGAAGGTATCAAATTGTGTTCTATGCTTCTTTGGATTGTTTTTAGACCATGAAGGATGGCATTTCATGAATTAAAAATTCCATACATACCAAAACAGAAAGGGAGCCCTGGTAAAAGGTAAGATCCCTTTTTGTCTTCTTTGTTTTCGGCTAGTTGTCACTAATATTCTCGTCTGTTGCAGCCTCATTGGAGCAACGATAATCTCGGTAGGGTTCTATACGTTGATGTGGGGAAAAGCAAAGGAAGAGATAGGCGAGGACTGTGTGGAAGATAACCTAGAGTCTCCACCTTCCAACAAGGTTCCTCTGTTGCCAACCTATGTAAAAGAGCAGCTGTAGAGCAAACTCATGCATGTACAGAAAAGTGAACAGTACTAAATTCCCGGCTGAAATCCATTAGTAAAAATTAGTCGTCAGAGCACAGATGTAACATTTTCCACTCTTGTTGATCAAATTCTCATGTCACCCTCATATAAGAATGCAACATATGATTGACGATCTGGCTCAGGCAGGTTAAAGACAAGCAGAGTTCGTTTGACATCCATAGCATATCATTTCCCTTGCGTTCGTAGTAGTCAAAGAAACATGCTGTATGCATTGAAAATAAAACCAGCAAATAAGAGAAGCACCCAGGGAAGTAGAGCTGCAATTACTGTTTCCTTGGTAAAATATGCCCATAATAACCATACATGATTGTATCTCTCATATGGTTCTACAGAATGAACAAAATGAAAGGTAGAAATATTCCCACCTTTAGGTCTAGGGAAAACGACCTGCACATCCTCTTTGATTTCAGTATTAATATAATAAACTAAAAGATCATACTCAACCCTATTGAGAAGCACGTGGGGCTAATGCAGCTAGGCCATAATTTCACCAGTACATGAAATTGTGAAGGCAGAGCAGTTTGACTACTCTCCAAGGTTATGAAACTCAGTTACGCAATAGTATGTTATAAGCATACATGAAATGCTGGACCGGATGAATGATCTTCACATCCTCTGAACCTTCTAAGTTTTGAGATCATCAGACATGGCAGAAGATATACAATGTGTTGTTAGGATGTCTAAAGTTGCAGCCTTGGCAGTCTTTGTTTGTAATACCACCATCTGGATAGCAAAGTTCTAAATCAACAAATTTGTCCTTGGGCACACACACACACACACACACACAGAAGAGGGAGAGGGAGAGACCTGTTGATATTCGAGGTCAAATTTCAAATATTTGTCCTTGCAGTTTTCCACCATATCAGCTAAGCTCTTTAGATTCTTCACAGGTTTGCCATTAAAAGCAAGCACCTAAATTAATAAAGAGGGGAAAGAAAACCAAAGTTGTTAACAACCTTGCCTTAAAAGACTTCTCATCAATTGTACGACACCAACGATGTTATGTAACATATTTCCTGACCTGAGTATTGACAATCTCCTCATATCCAATATTAATGTCAGCCACAAGCACCTGAAGAAAATAAAGGTGATGATGAAATCTGCATTTCCAGGAAAATAAGAGAATACGTTGCTTTTTAAATATTCAGCATAAAATATTCAAGAGGGAGAGACCTGTGATACAACAACAAGCTGTTCATCTACAGATTCTGCCATTGCATGCAGATGCTTATCCAATAGTTTAACTGGAGCATCAAACTCATAGTCCTTGCCATACTGAAGATAACACCAAATTCACCAAACTCAAAAGTTAGTGACCAGCAACAAAGCCAACTACTTCAGAAAGCAGATGACATAAACAGTTATCTTGAGAATACAATCAATGGTTGAAGATTGGACCACCAAGTGTGGATGGTTAACAAGGATAAGGTTTTAGTTCCAAAAATTCTTAAATTTTGGTTCATTCGCCAGCAGGTCTAATGGCTGTGGATAACTCTTAGTAATGCAACCCCTACTAACATGATGTGTCCACTGTCCCAATAATAAAAAATCAAAATTCAACTAACAGAAAACAGTTTATTCTCTAAATGCACATAAGAAATGACAGAGTACTGATTTAGAAAGTTCAATGTGAAAACATAATTGATCACCATTCCACACATAAGAATCATACACCCACGTGCATGCATGCAAAGAATTAGTAATAATTGTTTGATGCTTTGACATGACAGAGTTAGAGAAAGAATACACAGTATGCAATATTTCCCCTTGCACAGCACACGCACACACACACATACATACAGACAGAAAGAGAAAATGAAGGTTTTACTGCACACCTCAGATCGCAAATACGGGACGGTTACAGCTGTGAAAACAAAACCAGCAATGATATAATATGAAGGCGGCTTCCCATTGGTGTGGGCGGGGATGAGCCTCTTGTGTGTTGAGAGTTTTATGTTGAACTCAAGTATCTTTGAATTGCGGAGAACTTTAACCATAGCAGTATCTCCAGTATACTTTTGAGAAACAAGATAACTAAAACCTATGCGCTCCCCATGCCTGAATGGAACTGAAAATTAAATTAAAAAAGGAGGAAAAGGTCAAGACAATGTCTTCAAAAGAAACCTTGTCATAGCAACATTTACACAAATTGAGCTGTAAGGTAAAAATTACCTGTTCCATCATTAGCAATATTAACACCATCAAAGCTGAGGATAACATCAGATGGCTTCAGAACATGAGATTCTGGAGCTGTTGGCTCGATTCTTCTGATACGAACACCCTTCTGATCAGATTTCATTCCCATTGCCATGCGTAAATCAGGATTTTCCATCTTTTGCCACTCAATTCCAAGGATTGGGAACCCTGAAACAGTGTAAATGGCCAAAGAGGACAATACAGGAGTAAGATATCAAGCAAAATTCATGAACAAAGAGAACAAGCAGAGAGAGAACAAGACCTTAAAAATACCTGTATATTTCCCATTCTTCTCATAATCCTGAATGAAGTGCATAATAACTGGTGTTGGTATGACATAACCAATGTTCTCCACATCTTCATGTTTCAAAGATTGAAATGCAATACCAACACATTTACCCTTATCATTGAAGGCAGGGCCGCCAGAGTTCCCAGAGTTTATAGCTGCATCAATCTGCAAAAGCATATAAGCATCTAGACAAACCAACAAAATATGTCAAGCAAGTGTTTTGAAAACACTAGGAAACAGAACCTAAACTTCACCTGTAATCCCAAAAGTTCAGTTGAGCCATGGGCATAGGATAGTATCTCCATGCGTGACACAACACCACTGGTTACAGATATAGTGTCACCACCAAGTGGGTAGCCCACAACAGTTACAGCATCCTGAAGTGCTGGCAAATCTCCAAACTCCAAAGGTGAAACTCCTTCCCAGAATTCATCATCACTAACTGTCAACAAGGCTGTAGCATCCATAAAAAAGAGTAATTTATCATATCAATCAATCAACCAGGGAGTTCAACTGGCTTTCTAATTCTAAATGAATTGATATCTGAGCTTTCTGCACCCTTTCCAAAAAAAAAGAAGAATAATAGAAGTTTCATACCAATATCACACTCGGTACCGATAGCTAGAACAGTTGCCAAGTACTTGGTATCCGAACCACGCTTCTTTAGCTTCACTTGGGTGTAATGCTCCACAGAATGAGCATTTGTCAGCACTCTCCGGCCACTTATGATAAACCCGCTACTGTTGGAGCTGTACTGCCGTTTTCTTTGCCACGGAAGCGAGAAATTAGGCTCAGTATGCACGCAGAACACCTTAACAACCGCGTCCATTGCCGGCACTACCCTCGCCACGTTCTCCCAATTCGCCGGGGGCAGCTGGGGCTCCAAAAGAACGCCATTTGACGACGATGCTCCTCCGTTGTGAAAGGGCCTCCGCTCCGGGGATGCCGCGTAGGGCTCCGTATCCTCCGCGTGGGCACCGGCTTTTCTGGGTCTGCCACGGCCGCGGCGAGAGGGTGGTGGGTTGTTGGCGGTGGCGCTAGGTTCAGCGTCGGGGGGCGAAACAGTATCGTTCTGGGTGGTGGTGGGGACCGAAACAGAATCATTTTGGGTGACGGCGCGTTGGAAGTCCATTGTTTCTGTGGTTGCTGGGACTTTAGGTTTCCTGCCTCGCTTCCTCTTCTCACCCATGATTTCGTGGTTTTACGGCGTTTTTCCGGCGCAAGAGAGTGAGAAATAGAAATCGGAGAATCTTCAGTTCTTTGTCCGAAGCGGTG